GAATAAAATTAAAAAAAAAAGAAGCAGAAGAAATTTAAAAATAAATAAATAAATAATTAATTAATAAGAATTATTAATAAATAAGAGTCCTGCCACAGCCGTTATATGTATATATATAAAATATTTATAATCAACATAGTATGTGTTTAGCATATTAACGCCATATTTTTATTTAATTTTTATATTTTTTTTACATATTAATAATAATTAATTAATTACTTTAAAACAATTGTGCTCTTTTCTATGTGAATAATAATAATAATAATAATAATAATAATAATAATAATAATAATAATAATAATAATAATTTATTATTTATTTATTTATACATAAATAGTTTTTATTTTTTTTCTCTTATGCAAAACAATTTTTTTTTTTTTATTTTTTTTTAATTTACTAAAATTATTTTTTCATATTTTTTAATAATTTATTATTATTATTATTATTAATAATAATAATATTAATAATAAAATTAACAATATTAAATAAATTAAGGCAAATTTTTCTTATTTTTTTTTACTTCTTTGTTTGTTTTTGTTTTTTTAATTTAGCAAAAAAAAGAATTATTATTAATAATTACACGTCACATAAGCCTGAAACCTTAAAAAAAATTATAATTATTATAATTTTAAAAAATAAACAAATCAATAATTAGATTCGAAAGTAAATAAATTATGTATTTATGTATATCCGTATTATTATTTTTTTTTTTTTTTTTGAAAAAAGCGTTTAAAATTAACGTGGAATCGTTTTTTTTTTTTTTTTTACCACTTAAACCATAAGTAATTTAATACTAAAACTATCAAGAATTTTTAATCATTATCATTATCATTATTATTATTATTATTATTAATTTTTTTATTTACGTTGTTATTTATGTATTTATGCACGTATATAAATATTTATTTTTTTTTTTTTCGTTTTCAATATTGCAGTGTTAGTAATATTTATAATAATTTAATTTTTTTTTCCATATAAAAATTTTCATTTAAAATATATTAATAATAATAATAATAATAATAATAATAATAATAATTAATGAGCGTTAATTAAAATATATAATGAATATTTATTATTAAATAATCATTACCGGATGTATATCATTATTATTATTATTAAACTCGCTTTATGTGCTTTTTAAATATATATATATACGATCTAGAAAATAAAAAATTAATAATTACTTTTCCTATGTGCAACAATTAAATATACAAATAATAATAATAATAATAATATTTATTTAAGCAAAACAATATTTATTAATTTTTTCTTATCACCGTAATAATAATAATAATATATATTTATATAAACTATTATAAAAAAAAATATATATGTATGTATGTATTTATAAGTTTTGCCACTAAAAAAAGTGAGCAATGCAATTAATAATAATAATAATAATAGTAATAATAATAATTTAATTATATAATTAATTGGTCGAAGTGTCATTTAAAAAGACATTTTTTTTTTTAAATTAATATTTCATCATCACTATTGTTAAGTGTGGTTATTGTGGTTGTTGTTGTGGTTGTTTGTTTGTTTGTTTTTAATTTTAATTTTTTTTTACGAGACACAAACTTTTTTTTTTATGCGTAGAATTATTTTTTTTTTTTTTCATTTTGCTGAATTTTTTCACCCGTTTGCGCTTTACCTTTAGCGTAATAATAATATTAATAATTTTTTTTTTTTACGCAAGCCGAAGCCGATAATAATAATAATAATAATAATAATAATAATAATAATAATTTGATAATTTAAACGGTAAAGAGATCAGCAAAACAAAAAAAAAAAAAAAAAAAATAAGACTACAGTTGTGTCTGCTGGAGTCTGTACTAGATGGCATTTAAAGGCCTTTTAGCTGTCGGATGAGGAGAATGATAATCGTTTTCCTCATCTTCTTCATCATCTTTTTTCCTATGTCTATCTTCGGTTTCCCGATACCTGACACCGTGACCGTATTTATCATCCGGATAATATCGTTCTTCGCTACTTCCGTTTTCCCTCGACGCATATTGTTCTCTCAAATATGCCCCGCTGTGATGATGATGATGTAGTGGTTGTTGTTGATGATGATGATGCTGTGGCTGATGATGTGGCTGATGGTGATGCTGTTGTTGTTGATGATGAGATATATTATGACTCTGACCGTGATCGCTGTGCCTGTACGAATAAGAATGCGATCCGTCTCTTCTATCACCGTAATCGTCATATTCCGCGGATCTATCTTTTTCCAATCTAGAACGTCCGTAACTTCTCGGATGAGATTTACCATACATGTAACCTTTCCATTACAAAAAAATTTATTATTATTATTATTATTCATCGTACCTTTAAAAATTTGCAATTAATTAATTTTTAATTAAAAGGCAGAGCGAAAACGTCATCACACTAAAAATAAAAAACGTGTATCGTAACGTTATGAGAAAAAAAAAAATAGAAAAGAAAGCATTTGCTATGAAATAAATAAACGATATTCATAAATGATAATCAAAGCACTCCCATAATAATAATAATAATAATTATAAAAATAATGATGATAATGATAATAATTTTTAAAAAAAAGCTATGTCATAGTTATAGTTTATGAAAAACAAAACCTTTTAAATCCTTCGCGTTTTTTTTTTATTTTTTATTATTATTAAAAAAAAAAAAAAAACAATGAACGCAATAAAATAAACAATATTTTGTTAATTTGTTATAAATAAATTAAAAATTTTAAATAAATAATTATACGGTACCTAAAAAAAAATAAATAAATTTTTTTGTTTTAAAAAAAAAAAAGAATTTTTTTTTTTTTTTATATAAAAATGTTGTCGATAACAACAATCGTGAATCGATGCGACGACTAATATAACTATTTATAACATCGTTTCTAAAGCATAAGAGAAAAAAAAAAAAAAAAAAACATTAAAATCAACTTAATATCTACAAAAAGTAATAATAATAATAATAATATTAATAATAATAATAGTAACCAGCAAATAAAATAAAATAAAAAATAAACAAACTAGAAACGTTTCAAATAATAATAATAACAATAATAAAACTGCTTTTTTTTAAATAAAAATATAATATATATATATTTATATTATAATTATAATAAGATTTATATAATTGTAAATAATAATATAAATATATATATTTATAAACGAATAAAATTTTACAGAGAAAGAGAGAGAGAGAGAGAGAGAGATTTTACCTCTTGGCTCATAATCGTAATCGTATGGGTCGAGGTGTATACCTGTGAACCCAAGAACACACATTCAACCAATCAATCAAAACAAAGCAGTTTTCTTTAATTATATTATTTTTTCTTTATTAAAATATAAAACATCCCCCCACCACCTCCCCACCTTTTTTTAACGAAAAACTATACGTATGTTTGAAATCGCGGGAGAGAGAAAAAAAAAAAAAAAGAAAAAATTTCGGGGGGAGGGAAAATATGATAATAAAAATCATACCTGGAGATGTTGAATTAACTCGAACTATGTCACCACCGTGTTCGGCACCCATCGGGGTTTGCGGTGAGGGTTGCATAGGAACCGGTCTAGGAACCGATGATGCCAAAGCAGCAGCAGCAGAATGATTAATGGCCGCGACAGGTGGATGCGTAGCTCTCCAATATGCTTCTAAATATTCGGCAATGTGTTCGCAAGCTTCCTCCAATTGATTTTCGTCTAATATGACGTCAAACATTTCCGGAGGACATTGTGCTAGTTTTTCGGCGGCAACCATTTGAACGTTTAAATGCCTCGTTTGTGATTTTCCACGGGATTTAACTAACCTTTGAAGAACCTGTTTTTTTTTTTCGGAGGAAAATTAAATTAGTAAAATTTTTTTTTTTGTTTTTTTAATTAAAAAAATAATTTAATTGAAATTACTTTTGGTGATGTTATCTTAAGATAAACAATCGTTGGCGCCAGTGAAGTTTTTGCAAGTTGAGAAGGATGGTTTATCGTATCACAGTCAAGTACTACCAACTGCAAAGTTCTCGCAAGCTCAAATATTCGTTCTATTTCCGCTTGAACTTCTGCTAAACAAGTGGAGCGTGCATTGTTTCGCTCCATGATCGCTCTTTTTGCCGGATTGTTGAGCAATGATCTCTTCGCAAGTGATATGTCTGCCATAACTCTGGTAATTATTATTCTGAAAAAAAAAAAAAAAAAAAATTTTTTTTTAGTTTTAATTTTAATTAAACGACGATCGATAAATTAATAATAATGATTAAATTTTTAGTACCTTCCCTCGAATCGATGTTTAAGAAAATCGAATAAAGCTTTTTGCATCATATCCGTTACTTCGTAACCTTTGAGCGAAGGACCTACCAGAACCACAGGTCTCATGGACGGTACGACATCGTAGGGTGTCGTATTTTCCTGTTTTTTAAAAAAAGGCTTTCTTTTCTCTTTCGCTGGAGGCGTTGTTAGTGTATTTTTCGATAATCTTCCACCGGCTACAGATTCTGTATCTTCCCCTGGTTTTTTTTTTTTTTTGAAAAACACAAATTTTAAAAAATCTCTTTAATCGTTATTATCATTATTTTTTTTTTGCAAACAGTAAACATTAAAACATCGAAACTAATAAACTAAAAATGAGAAGAAGAAAAAAAAACCATCCAAATAATAATAATAATAATAAATTAGTATTCGAGAGGATCGGAAAAAAAAAACAAATGCGAAATAAAAAAATAAAGGATGCTAAAAGAAACGAAAATAAAAAAAAAGCAAAAGGAAGAAAAAAAATAAAGACAGAAGAAGAATAAAAAGAACAAGAAGAAGAAGCTAAGGGGGAAATGACAACGAGAAGTTTAGGTGTGGTGACGTACCAGGGGCGGAAGGGTTAGAGCCCAAAATTTGGGGAATTTCACTCAGAGGCGCACCTAAATTGTTTGAGGAAGATGTTTTTGAGGTATATAACTTAGATGCTCCTGTTGCTGATTGCTGTAGTCGAAGATTTTCAAGTTTTACAGGCGACGGGATGAAGCCGACATCACTCCCTTCTTTGACCAGCCGTCCGATCCACCAATTATTATCATATTTTTCCTAACACAAACAAACGAGCACGATCGATATAAAAATTCCAAAGTTTTCCCTCCCCTCCCCTCCCCCCCAAAAAAAAAAACAAATTTTTATTTACCTTTATATGAAGAAAATCTCTCATAGCAAAAGAAATGGCGGTACCGTGTACAGGGGAATCATCATCCACCGAACCATCATAACTCACGTTCGTTCTTACCGCAAAGGCCACAGGTTTTTGCTAGAAAAAAATTTTAATTTACTTATTAAAAATGAAAAAAAAATTTTTTTTTTTTTTGCTATCATCATTTTTACTCACTCGGGCCTTTTCCAGCTGATTAAGGGCATGGCGCTCCTTCTCCCGCCGCACAGTTTCCTTTTCCTCGTCCAGCGATAAATCGGAAGATGGCTGAGAGTAATTTGAATCTGCGGAGCCCTGCATTTAACATTATCGTTATCATTATCATTAATAATTTTTTTTTATTAAACAAACGATTGTAATTTAAAAAATTTTTCTTCATAACTTTTCATAAATTTTTTTTTTTAAGTGAGTATGTATCAAAAAAATGAATTTTTTTTTTTTTAATAAAAAATACCTAAATTCATACAAGCATGATGCAATCAATAATTAATAAGCTCGTTAAAAAATAAAAAACTAATTAATTATTTTTATTAATTAATTAATTAATTAATTTCTATTATTATCTACCTGCATTTTATTTTTATTAAAATTATATTTATATCAAAACTACTTTTTGTATTTTTTAAAACTAAATTTTAAAAGTTATTTTAATTCTTTTCTTTATTTTCATAATATTGTGCACGTAAAAAAAAACTAAAAAAAAAAAAAATTAAATATATTGATTTCGTAAAAGCAGAAGACGTGTTTTTTTTTTTCTTATATAAAAAAATTCCTCTTCTTCTTCTTTATTTAACCTACTAATTTTTTTTTTTATATATAAAATTATTATTATTTTTATCATGGTGGCTGTCTGACGATGGTAAGAAAAGTTTAAAGTCGCCATTATTGGCGCCATTTTAAATTGGAACAAATATTTTATTTGGGTCAACACTCACCCCCCAGCATCCCCTTTCCAGCACCACCACCGCCACCACGACGACGACGACGATGATTCACGCGAGTTTTTTTTTTTTTTAATCGGTACCAATTTTACCAACTTGTGAAAAATTAAACGTGAGGTAAAAAATTTAAAAAAATAAAAAACGAAAGCGTATTTATGTATGTATATGTGTATTAATAAGTGATATGCGAGTGTCGGCCATCTTTTGAAAAAGAAAGCATTCAAATAATAATAATAATAAAAATGAATAAGTAAAAATGTCGTTATTATTTACAATATGAAATATATCATACACATTATTCTCTTTTATTAATATAATTTTTTTTTTTCAGTCGAATTTTAATGTAAAAAAAACTAATTAATCTACTACTCAATCATCATGCACTCTCAGAGCTACCAATATATGAAATATGTTAACCTTACCAACAGCGAAGTATATTTGGACATGTAACACTTGTCACCACTATTATAAATGCGGCATGCAAAAAAAGGTAGTCATCAACGTACAACATTTTCACATCGACATACATCGATAATTATTAATGATAATAATGATGATAATAATAATAATAATAATAATAATAATAATAATAATAATAATAATAAATAAATAATATTAATAATTGACGTCGTGTACCGTCGTACGTTTTTTTTTTTTTTTTTTTTTTTTTTTTGTTGTTGTTATTACCGTAGAAGGAAAAATCCATTTTCCTCGTATGCAACGTGGTTTAGTTACTACCCTCGACGTTTTCATTAATGTTCAATACCCTCCACCCTCCTCCTCCGGCCCCCCAAAAAAAAAGAAAAAATGATGAAGAAAAATGCACAATCGACAAAAATAAATTTTTACACAACGCGAAAAAAAAAAGAAACAGAAACAGACTGTAAACGTATTGTTTTAATTATTAACTAATAATCAATCGTGTGAATTTATTTGTTTGTTTGTTTGTTTGTTTGTTCGTCTGTTTGTTACTAATTGAAGTTGCGGGTTATGACCGGTCGGCGGGAGTCATTGAATGCTATTAACAAATAAAATTTGCTGCCATCGAATTAATTTTCATTTTGTTTTAATTTTTTTTTTTTTTTTTTTTTTCAAATACAGACGTACCAACCTAATTATTTATTTTTATGAGATTATTATCAAAACATTTTTTAACATAATAATCTTAAATTAGAAACTAAGGAAAACAATAAATTTTTCTTTTCCTTTTTCCAGCTGTTAAAATGAAACATGTCGTTGTCGTTGTTGTTGTTGTTGTTGTTGCTGTTGTGGGTGGTAAGAAGTGAGAGAAACAAAAACAATTAATTTTCATTCCAACAGTTTTTTTAATTCGTTTTTTTTTTTTTTTTTTTTCGACAAAACTTTAGCATTGAACAAATACGTATACTTAATTGTATCGTTTGTTTGTTTGTTCCGACGTAAACAAACGATTGTGTCGGAAAAAATTATTTCGACGTGACAAAAAAAAAACAACGTACGTTAAGTGTTTAAAAATCAATCACAATTGATATTAAGTTATTTTTTCTTAATAATCGAATATTTTACTCATTGAAAACAAATCTCTCTCTCTTTCTCTCTCTCTCCCTCTCTCTCTCTCTCTCTCTCTCTCTCTCTCTCTCTCTCTCTCTCTCTCTCTCTCACATCAGTACATAAAAAAAATTCATTTAACGAGAAATAAAAATTTCGTTTCATCAGCTAATTTTACACATAAAATGTGAACAAAAAAAATAGAAAAAAGTGCTGACACGGTTAAGAAAAATTGATACATTTTTTTTTTTTAATTTATGACGTCAACAACAAGTCATCATCATCATCATCATTTCATCAATAGGTGAAACAACAAACAAGTTTCGAATTGTTTTCTTTTATTTTTAAAGAGAACTTTACGTAAATCTAACACAAACACAAACACATGCACACACACAAACGCACACACATTCATTCAAATTCTAAACATTAAATTATAATTAAATTTACCCGTAAACAAAAAAAAAATCCCATGGTCAAATTTCATTATTATTATTATTATCATTATTATTATTAATATTATTAATAATATTATTATTATTTGTTTAAAACAATTAATTAATTACAAAAAAAAATGAAAATGCGCGCAAATTGTCAATTTATCAAAACATTTATTACACGATTTTAATAACATTTATTTAAATTCGATTTTTTGCGTGCCATTTTTTTTAAATAACAATAATAATGATGATGATGATGATAATAATAATAATAATAATAATAATAATAATAATAATAATAATAATAATAATAATAATAATGATAACATTGATAATGACGGCAACAATAATAATTAAATTTGGGGCCCGATAATAAGCAAAAAAAAAAAAAAAGGAAAATTTTTGTGGAGAATGAAAATATTTAAAAAAAGGGGGCGGTTCGTTATTTATTTATTTATTAAAAATCAGTTTCCGGTTTGTACTCATTCATTCACGCATGCACGCACGCACATACCACATACACGCACAAACACACGCACTCGTGTATTTAAATAGGTACAGGAAAGATTTTTAAATTTAGGAAGGAAAACTCACGACGATTGGCCACTACACTTTTTTCATTTCAATTCCGTTCTCTCAAAGGGGTACGAATTAAATTCTTTTAACCCCCTCCACTCCTCCTTTTTTAACCCCATCCAAAAACATACACATGATGTTCAGAGTTCAAGGTCATGTCACGTCAAAAATTAAAAAAAAATAATAATAATAAAAAGAAACGTACCTGAGTAAACAATTTATTGTACCCTTGCTGGTTAATTCCTATCATAATAATATCGGTCGGGATTCCATTTTTTTTTTCTTTATTATTAGCAACCATAA